TGTAAAATGCCTCATTCAAGTTGTTGGCCTTCTCAAGGTCACTTTAGATGAGTTCTCGAATAAAATGGGTTATAATTTAACTTTATATACGAATTTCTACTTTGTGGTTGAATTCTAACCCATTTTATATACTCAGTTGCCTTCAAAACGACGTTAAGCGAACGTCGAAACGTCGTCTCCGCATTAATTTTAAGATTTTCCATCTTATAACCAAGCGGCTGCGTTGTTACCATTTCTTTGCTTGTTTGGTCAAGCAGCCGCGCCACTGGTTACCACGTAACCTGGCGACAAATAAGAATGTATCGTACACGCAACGTACAAAAACCTGCAAGGGACGTTTCCATTTCAGTCCATTTTTTATCAAGATAGGTTAAACCAAGGTATGAAATTACTCAAAGTATTTCGTCAACTATGTATTCCACTAGTTTTCCCAAAGATTTTTCTCGATCAGTGCTAATCTATTATCTGACATTTCCGTGCGTGCATTAATTGTCTGNAAAAACTACTGGATAGTTTTTTTGGCAAAATATCCTTTTATTTCAAAGGAATATGCAAATTACCAAATTCGGTTAAAATCGTCATTTGACGCACCATTTTATTAAACAGATTTGAGAGCTTCGCATGCAAAACCATATCATTCTTCCGGCTTTAAAACACTCAAATATTTTTGTGCAATGTTTAAGTGTGTACTGGGTTGATTTTACTGAATGCTGCGTTGTCTTTTTGGGTGCTGAATAATTAAATTTTGAAGACGTGTATTTCATTCATTTAAAAGTACTTCGTAAAAGTAATGCTCCTATTAAGCGGCCACCTCCCATTTCCCTGAGGGCAGCCCACTGTATTATATGTAAACCAAAAATAATTGGACAGCGCGAAAAGACCTAGGTACGAGTTTAGCGTTACAGTATTACGCAGGGCATGTAGGTAGCGGTGGTCTCGTAAAAGAAAATAACACGGGCAATGGTTAACTATTCATTCTTTTCTTTACTTAATTTAGTCTCCTCCTACTCAGCAAGATTGTGTGGTACCTGTGGTTCCAAGCCTTACGGAGCCTTACGTATTAGGATAGAAATTGTCCTACCCCTACCCCCTAAAAT